ATTAAAAAAAAAATTGGCCACAGTCAGGATTTGAACCCCGAACCTAAGAACGTGAACACTTCACTCAGACCGTTGCGCTAATAACTTTTGTACATACTTTTCATCACCTCCAAACTAGCCTTACGTCATAATTTTAAATGTTACTGTATATATTTCAGAGAAGTGGGAAGGGGATGAGATGTCATACATGTTTATCTTCGTACTAGCAAAATGGCACCTGTAGACAGAGCCTATTTCATTTATAGTTCAGTTGAACGTAAGTTACCAGCTGTGACATAATCAACTTTCTGAAAGATGCTTTTTACAATTTTTTTATTTACACTTTTTTTTCTTTTCCAGGTATGCATCATCATTTCATAATACAAAATGAAAACTATTGATTATTTGAATGGTAAGTTTTAAATTAATATTCACCATATTATTTATTACTTTAAATTGACGAAATATTTGTAACTTTTATCAATTAATTACCGATACTTTTTAAATAGTATGTGTATGGAACTTTTTTACTCATGAGCTACTTTAGCATAGTTGAATGGAATGCAAGAAAAAATAATCTGAGTAACCGAATACGGATACTTTTAAAAAAGTACGAATACTTTCTCATAAAAACCTAATCTGTTACTCCGAATCCTTTTTCGGATACTTTGTAGCAGTCCTGCACAACATACGGCTCGCGGCCCGCCATTGTCGTTTTCTTGGCCCTTTGCCCCTTTATCGCCTATCTCAAACTATACATTTTTCAGTAACAGAATTGCATTTATTAATTGCCTTATTAGATATCAAATCAAATAATATGTGGTAAAACACAAAAAAACTTTACTGAATAAAACTATAAATTAATTTTTTTGAGCATCAAGATCAACGTATTGGAGCGTTGCACCTGCGAAAGTCCTTCTTAATCCTGCTTTATAGGATACTATTATTTATTGTAGTGGTTGTTGATATGAATTTTAAATAGATAATTAGCTATCAATAATAAAAATTCCTAATATACAATAAATAATATTATATTCTGTAACAAGGTTGGAATGAAAATTCGATATGAGTGGAAGATTCTGAACGCGAGCATCGGATTTTCATTTCAACAGAGTAACAGACTGTACTTTCTCCACAGACACAGTAGGAGTTCAATATAGTAAAATGAAACTGAACAAAATGAAATATTTAATCTAACTTATGTTAGGCAAGTTTTTATTTAAATTATTTGCATAATTTGTCAGTTCAGGAGGAATATTATCAAATTCCATATAAGAATAATTATATTCACCAATTTTGGAATTTAACTTCAACTTAACAAATGCCGCTTATTTTATTCCTGCAAATTCAAACTAAATACCACAGTTTGAAGAATATATATTCTTTAAACTGTGCTAATACGTCGCGTAGAACTGTCTTTCATGAAATTCATTACTATCTACGATGCGGGCGTGGTATTCACAGCCATTGGCCAGTAGCTTTTACATAATGAACACTCTGTCTCTAGAGTTAGAATGAAATACGTGTAAAATACATAAGAGGCAAGTGTTTCAGAATTTTCTTTTAATTTCAAGAACGAGAATGTTTTCTTTCCGAAGAACTTCATTTAGTAGTGGCCATTCAGAAATGTTATTTAAACGTTTAAGTAAATAAATAAAAATTAATAAAATCAAAAAATTCAGATTTTAATATTTGACAACGTTGTAACCATTTGTAATTATTCTATTGGCTGCTTACTAAGGGTAAACCGCAGTCCAAAATTATCTTATACTATGCAATCCCTTAAATACATCTAAATTCCTCGTTAATTCCCGTAATTTTCCTGAATTTTCCGGAAATTGCCAAAAAATCCTTGTCATTTCTCTGGAAATTCCCATAATTCCTCTCAATTCCTTAAATTTTATATTAACCTGTATAAATTCCAAGATATTCTCTACCTTGTATATTTTATTTCTCTTTTATTCGAATGTGTCAAAAAACGTCGTTTTTCGGACAGAAAATAGAAAAGTAAAATTTTTGTATATACTTTATAATATACTTTATCGGCCATGGCATCTAAAGTGTATAAAGTGTTTCATACCGATTTAGAATTCTCAAATCTGAGGTAGGTTTTTTCATATACTATTTTTGATTTTTTTGGAATCAAATTCAAGGACGCCAAATTTGCCGCTTCTCTAGTTTCTGAGGGCGTGCCTGTAATAAATTCTTACTGATATTTGTAATTTTTTTTTGCATCAATTTTTAATACACTAGGTAATTAAATTAATTTGACATGAGCACATTTATACGATATAAATTGATCTCATAGCCAACTCAATAAACCTTCACCTGGCATGTTAATCCTGAGTAACATACCTGGACTCGTGGGGTACGTATGAACCCCAGCAATAAAAATCTTTGTAAAAATTGATATTATGATTATTTTGTATCAAAAAAATTTAGAGATCCTCTTTAGATACCACTTTAAACTGTAGAATAGTCCAAGTTGAAAAAATAAAGATCAGCGTTCATAAAAAATCCAGAAAACTGGAAAACTTGATAAATTAAAAATTCATAACTTTTTGTTTTTCGATAAAAAGGGCTGACATTTTAGCTGTGTCTTCTTCTGTTACATCACTATAAAAGAATAATAATTATTTTCATGGGTCTTTAAAAAAAAAAGGTATTTATTTCGAGAGCGCTATCCCACTGGCCCAGGTATAAAAGTATATCCCTTGACTACCGATAGATGTCGTTACAAGTTTCGATTTCGAAGATTTAGATATCGAAAATCGACGAGAAAGAGCGTGGGGTATGTACGTACCCCACGAGGCCAGGTGACGGTAAAGAAAAATTATTGGAAATAATATTTCAGATTTAATTTTCTATATATTTTTTTTAATATCTAAGCACATTCAAATAAAAAACAATGTATGAAACACGGACGAAAAATGTTTTTACGGACTCCTGGTAGTCGCCCGAAAAACTCAACTTTTCGTCCTTGTAACATAAACTTAATATTTCTTAGAAAATTATACTCAAATATTATATTAAATTTTAATCATATTTTTATGTAATATATTTTTGTAGCGAGGATAACTATTGCACGCTGGAACCTATTCTATTGAAGACATCTCCAATATATTCTGGGTTGTCAAATGATGACTTTTTGTTCTCTTCTCGCTAGCTTGAGATCAATTCTTCATATTCCACAATGTTGTAATTTTACCATTTTTACGATCACTGCTCATCAGCTTGTGTAAAGCTGCCTGACTCTCGAGCAAATCATAATAGCTGGTTGCAGTATGTTCTCAAAAGTTTTTGCTGTGCATCCACTGTAATCTCTACTTGAGATTTTTTTACTTAAATCACAAATAAATAGGAAGAAAATATCAATTGTTTACCAATATTCTTATTTTACTATTATTCATCAACAATAATAATTATTGATTTTATTTATTCAAATTAAACATACCTTTCTCTACTCTGGTTCTGTTTTACGTACTTATTAAATACATATTATTATTTATTGATTGACGTAAGACGTAAGGCCAAAGACAACATTTTTATTGGTTTATTTTTATCTGGTTGGACAAAGAAACACATTTTGTTGAGGTTCATGGGCTTTTTACGCGCACCGATAAAGGTCCTTGAGATTTGTTTACATTCTTGGTGCAATTAATTTCTCTTAAACCTGCTATGAATTTTAAAGAAGTTCCGGAGTCTTAATTTAATACGACTTTGTAATAACGTTAATAAATACGTTCCTTTAAAAAAATAATAATAATGGAAATGCTTGGAAATTTTTAAATTATAAAGCATATTTACTCTTCCTAATTTTTATATCTTTGGATTTTCGTCAGAAATAAGTTCCGAAAACAGGCGATTTATTCTTACAATAAAAGTCGGTAAGTCAACAAATACATATGACTTGTCCCATCAGAGACTTGTAAATATGTTAAAAAGATTATAAAATGATATGGTAGGAAAAGATAGCTAGAACCTATGACATTAATACAAGAGTATTGAATATTTATCCATAAACATAAATACCACGTTACATTATTCCATCACCAAATTTCGGACTTAATAAATAATATTAATGAAGGATGTTGCAAAGATTTTCTTTTAATCAAAAATTTGACTACTCTTGAATAGACACATCGCAATTATCAGTCATAGAATGCTCCACAAACGATTTTAATATTCTTGGATCCAATCCCACCGTTGGCCGGGATTTTTTCATTTAATTTAATTATTTAAAATTAATTCTGATGCCTTGGTAGGATTCCCCACTCGACCATTCACTGTTGGGTTCTAATTAACAGTGCTGTTCCTAAAGTGGCGCTGGGAAACAGTAACAAAGCCTACACAGAACACGAGGCGAAATAATCCTGGTAGTTGAAGACGATGACACAAAAAAAAAAACTTATTGAAAATGGTGAAAATTTTACTGAAACACTTTTCGAATAGTGCGTGCAATTTTTGGTCGGCAAAATGCACTAAAAATGGTCTACAGTTAAGAGACAAATATTCCATTCACAAAGCTCAATTCTAGACAGTCATTTTTTGAGGGACAGTTTGTTAAAGAGTGCCTAATAGACGTTGCAGAACTTTTGTGCCCAGAAAAGAAGAAAGAGTTTGAGAAAGTGAGCTTATCGTGATGTACTGTTGTTCGACGTATAGATATGATAGCTAGGTGATATCAAAAAAAAAAAAAACATTGACTGATACATTAGCTGGTTTTCAAGTATTTTCGATTACTTTAGATGAGAGTACATATTTATCTGACACAGCGCAGTTAGCTATTTTTAAACGAAGTGTTTATGAAGGAGTTGCAGTGACTGAGGAATTACTGGCTTTACGGCCGCTACAAAGGACCACTACTGGAAAAGATATTTTTACCAAGGTATAAACTACTTTCGAGTAATATGGTTTGCAGTCGTGTAAATTAGTTGGAGTGTGCACGGATGGTGCGCCTTCAATGGTCGGTTAACAAAAAGATTTTATCGGAATTCTGAAGGAAAAAGCAACCGCTATGAATGTGGAAGAATGTGCATTGCATTATTCACCAACAAAACTTGTGCTCTAAGTCCAGTCGATTGAAGAATGTTATTGATGTGGTAGTAAATACTGTTAATTTCATTAGATCCCGAGGTCTTAACAATCGCCAGTTTAAAGCATTTTTGGATGAACTTTCTTTAGAACACGATGATGTGACATATTATTGCGAAATAAGGTGGCTAAGCAAAGGTAAAATGCTAAAAAGATTTTTTGACCTTAGAAAAGAAATAGCTGATTTTATAGAAATGAAAGAGAAAGCATTGCCGCAAATTTGTGATCCAACTTGCCTTTGTGACTTGGCATTCCTGGTAGACATCACAAAACACTTAAACGACCTGAACCTAAATCTTCAAAAACAAGGGCAATTGGTAAATCAGCTGTACAATCATGTTATATCTTTTCAAAACAATATTCGCTTGTGGGAAACACAAATGAGAAGTAAACACTGTTTTCATTTTTCAATGTTATCCTGTCACGAAAACATTGAATCCTATCGTTATGCTGAAGAATTGAAACTACTGTCCGAGCAATTTACTGATCGATTTTCCTATTTTAAGAATATGGAAGCACTTTCAATATTTTTGCAAATTCTTGTAAGTGTAATGTGGAAGATGCCCCGCTTCACCTACAAATGGAATTGATTGAGCTTTAAGAAGACTCATATTTACAGTCTAAATTTGATGATGTAGAACTAAGCGAATTTTGCAGAACATACCTTTCCAAAAAAAGTATCCACAGCTGAGAGTTTTCGCACGAAAAATAATTTGCACATTTGAAAGCATGTATAAATGTGAGCAGCTTTTTCAATCATGAAAAATAATAAAAATAAGCATCGTACATATGTTGATTTAGAAAAAAATTTGCGCCTATGTGCTAGTGATATTGACCGCAATATTGATCATCTTTTTTCTCAGCTTCAAACTCTAGTCTCTCATTAATTTTCATTTGATTTTTCTTTTTTATTAACTTTTTTTTATAGGTTTGATTGAGCTTATTCATTATGCTATTATAATTAATAAATAAAAAACATGTGTGAATTTTTGTCGCTTTTTTATTCACTACTATCTACTTATTTCTTGCTTACGGCTCACGACCTATTTAAGTTCCGAAATTACTCCCTCGGCTAAGCAAAGGTTGCCCATACCTGCCTTAGAGTCTGCAAGTTTTGGTGCGAGAAGTCAGCCATTTAGATTCTTGGCATTCGCAGCAACTTGTCATTCGACAAACAGTTTGCACACAGTTTTAAAGAAAAATCTTCATTTGCATTCTTATAAAGTTTAACTAACTCAAGAACTTAAACCATGTGATTATGCAAAATATTTGTATAAAAACAAACAAGTAATTGGCGCTGATTTTGTTAGAAACAATAATTGTCTTTAGCGATGAGGCACACTTCCACTTGATTAAGTACATGGGAAAGTAATGTATCCAGAACTAGTCACCGTTTGGTACGGATTTTGTGCTGGAAGAGTAATTGGACGTTACTTTTTTAATGACGTTGCTGATAATGTAGTGATAGTTATACGGGTATTTTTGTAGCTTGCATTATGGTATGGATTTAGATCAAATGTGATTTCAGATTCACGGGGCAACCTGTCACACTGTGCGAGAGACAATACAGTTGTTGCATGAGAGATTCCTGGCTATATAATCTCGCTCACCGTCGACCAAAATAGGTCTCCGAGTTTGTGTGATTGCCGTGCGACTTCTTCCTGTATAGGGATAGTGTAGTTCTTCATTTATTCTAACCAACTACATATCCTGTGCTAAAGGAATAAATGTCGACGTGTCATTTGCAATATTGAAGGGCTAATATGCCAAAATATAATTAGCAACTTATGTAAAACAGTCGTTGTTACCATTTATTGGATCTTTTTTTAATAAAGGCACTCTTTAAAGCCACATTTGAGGCTCTAAAAGCTCGGAGTCATCAAAACAAAATAATACTGGTATCTTTATTATTAAAAATCTCTCTTCAGTATTATTTTGGCACCGTCATTTATTTAGAATCGCTCTCTCTTTATATTTTTTTATTATATAATCATAATTGTGTTTTTACCCAAAATTCTTACAAAAAATTTCTACCTACCGTATACCTGAGATTGATAATATTGTGAAAGAATGTATGCAACAAATTTATACACAATATTCTTTTTATTATTGTTTTCTGTTATGTGCTTTCATCGAGTCGAATGAATTGTTTTCAATCAATTTGCAGTTTGATGATTTTCTTAATTTTACTCCATATCTTGATTTTGGTTTCATGATAAGTAAGGTAATGCGAGCCATTTCCGACCAATCTGGTTATGATCTAATCTGTTAAATTGCTCTGCATTGTTTAAGCCTTTTTACGAACCCACTTGTCCTTAAAACCAGGAATATTTGATGGAGGTGATAAACCCCATTTACCCAACTGTAGGGGCGCCTATTCGAGAAATTGCCGGAGGCGCAAGTTTAATAAGTGGTGCGAGCGGTAATAATATAGGCCTTACACCAATTTATATATAAATGGACTGTGTTGCATAGAAAGGCAATTGGTTGATAACGAGACACAGTGGAAGATAGATATTTGAATCGTTATAATTGTTAAATAAATTCGAAGTGTGAAATATAAATAGTGTTTAGGTATAAAGAAATTAATTAGTACGTAGTTTAAATAAATTATAAATAAACTGTTTTAAATAAATAAATATATATTTTTGAAATAAACCCTTCGGTACATTGTTGTCAGAAGTGGAATTTTTAAATAAATAGTGAATAAAAATGGCTAAAAAACTCTATGATTTAAAAGTGACCCAGCTACGTCGAGAACTAGAGGATAGAGAACTGGAGATGACAGGGAAGAGAGCAGAGCTGGCAGAGCGGCTTAAAGAAGCACTAGGAAGTAAAGGTTTGTATCTGAAAACGTATCTACTTTATGATGATGCGTCCTCTATAATTTCTTCTTTAGAAAGTACATTTTCTTCCATTGAATCTAAAGTTTCTTCTGACATTTCTTCCTTAGATAATAAAGTTTCTTCCATAGAAACTAAAGTGTCTTCTGATATATCTTCTTTAAAAACAGAAATGTCTTCCGATTTGGAAAACAAAATCTTTAAAACATGAAATTTCTTCTAACTTTAAAAGCAAAATTTCTATGGAAAATACATTTTCGTCTAATATTTCTTCCTTAGAAGAAAAAGTGTTTTCTGATATTTCTTCTATGCAAATTTAAGTCTCCTCTAATAACTCTTCTGTAAAAAATTAAATTTCTGCTGATGTGGAAATTAAGATTATTTCCGTTGAGGAGAAAATAGAAGAGATGGAAAAGAACATAGAAGAAATAGAGAGCAACAGTTCAAAACAGCTGCCGGAATGGTCTGAACGAGAGAAGACAGTGAATTTGACCATCGCCCTTCGAGGATACGCTTTACATGTTCTTCAGACTATACATGTAGAAGAGACAACTTAAAATGGCCTAAAAGGATTAGATCATGACCAGATTGGTCGGAAATGACTCTCATTACAATATTGACATGACCAAGACGTCGTTCAGCTATGAAGTATGAAATATATTAATTTATATGGAATTTAAAAGATAAAAGTGCTATATTATTATTGTTATTGAGTCCTATAGAGAAAGAATTAGTTGTTATTGAATTTAATTTCAGAAGTACTCGTATATGGAATCTCAGAACTGTGTTAGTGTGTCATAATTTTTATACGGTATTATAGGTATTTAGATAATATCGTTATAATATTGTACTGTAATTAAAAAGATACATTATTATAAAATTACCCCATTCAACAATCTTGCCGAGGCATTTTTTTGTCAAAGGGAGTTAAATATACCTAGTATCAAAAGAAATACTGAAAGATACGTGGCGACATTACATTGCTCGTGAGCAAAGAAGAATTTTGACAGTATAGGAGCAGGCAGTAATCTCATTTAAATGGTATGAAAAATGTAAGTATTGGTGCCTCGCCTCTCTAATTTATGGTTAGATGAACAAGTACTACCTTGCAATTGATGATACATGAATATATCAGATGTCTCGAGATTATGGTCATAACAATTAATCTAAAAGGGGTTTTTATCTGACGCAACCTCATTGTTTACGGTTATGGTTGTTTTAATTTAAATACTGCCATTTATTACACTTTTTCCTCACAATCTGATCTGATTTATTACATTTCATGTCAAACCTTGAAATATATTTTAATTTGTGCAATACAATCAAACACTGCAATTGATTTATCATGCTCTATATAATAGACTAATTCTGTTGATAAAAAAGGCAATGCATATTAAAAAAAAGTGTATAATAATTATTTAATAAAATAAAATCCCATTTAATTTGTAGTCTCTAAAATAAAATACGTTTTCCATGACTAATAAATATTTATGTGTTTAGTTTTATAAATAATGTATGTACTCTTGTTATGAATTTGTATAATTCTAGAAATAATAAATAAATTGAATTGAATAAACAAGTATTTTAAAAATACCAACAAATACAGTATCTAGGCTTTACCTACTTGGCTATTAAACAATTAAAATAACAATAAAAACCGCATTGTAAAAAGGTAATCTATTCAAATCGGCATATCTAAAAATTTTATTTGCTTCATTTTCAAGAAATCCAGCACCACGTTTTATTCATCCAAACGAACAGGCAGACTTTCCACAAATGTCACTTCAACTTAGTTAATGCGATTTTCACATTGGATCTGAACTGGCCCAAACACGTCACCGTCACACCCACATCATCTGACCAGCAATTAAAATATCTGTCCCAATCTCAATCCAATCTGCTCGAAGGTAAAATAACTTTTAACAAGTTTAAACAAGATGGATAATTCGCTGAAGAATTTAATACGGTGTTAACGGTGATTAAATTTTGAATTGTCCCATCATAATATTAGAATTGGAATATTTAAGTTCTTGAATATAAGAAAAATGTTTTTATTAATTCTACATTTCGTTTTTTTTGCATGTTTCTTAAATTGGTTTCATATCCTCGAATCGAACACTAAATATTTTAAAGCTGCGAAAAAAGAATCCGAGATAATACACTTTTTCTCGGCGTTTTTTTCTTTATAACACTGTCAGTTTCATCTGATACCCTTTAATAATATTTTCTTCTTTCTCCCTATTATTCCAAATGGAACAGTAGGACCGGGCTATAAAAGGCAGAAAAGCTGGAATAAAAAATTTATGCCGTCGCAACTCTCCTGAAATCAAAGAAACGAGACGGGTACAAGATGTTTGCACTCCAATCGGCAAATAAGGTTTTGGAAAATTGGCGTAGTTTAAAAGGCCCGTCTTTCAAGAATTCCTTTCACTGTTTAAATTATTTGTGTTCGGGGTTCTTTCTAAGTCGAAAAGAAAATTTATATTTATGATTACATAGAAATTAAAGTAAAGGAAAATGATTACAAACGCATGTGACCAAGACGTAAATAAAGAAGAAAAACCGAGGGGAAAATTTCTGGAAGAATTTCGTACACTAGTACAAGTTAGGTCCCAAATAGTACAGAAATCGTTCTCAAATAGTACACAAATTGTACATAAATATTACAGAATAGATATAAATAATTATATCAATGAGCTAAATAAAAAAAGGTCGCTGGTATTAAAATTAAGTTGATGACCTAAAAA